GGTTGCATCAGCATGAAAGAAGACCATGGCCAGTATAGCAGTGGTAGGTGATGCAGCAATGGTAGGTAAGGCCAGGCTGTGAAGGTAGCTGGCAGCAGCTGGTAGGCGGGTAGCCAAAAGGTAATAAATGCAGGTGGGCCTGATTGGGTCCAAATTTTGTTCATGTGACCACAGGGGTGCTGCAACAGCTAAAACTACCGGGGCAGGTTGTAAGTCCCTTACTTCAGCACTGTTGTAACTTTGGTTGCTGAACAAATGGATGTTAAGGGAAGACTATCTATGCCAGGGGTAGTCAACCTTGGCTCTTTTATGACTCGTGGACTTCAACTCCCAGAATTCCTGAGCCAGCTAAACATATGCTAAACATCTGCTAACTCCCTTTCTGCCTCAGAACCATACTAGTATGTTAAATTCAGACCTGACTTTCAACTAATGAAAGTTTGCCCAAGAAAATGTTTAGGGAAGGTGTTCATACTGCACACTAATTTTTCTTTAACCAAACCTCTAAACTTTTAAACAAGGCAGTTGCAACCTATGTTTTCAAATCCATTAAAATAAAATTACTATCAAATGATAGATATTTTCACCATCTTGATGTCCCTCTGGGACTGAAGTGCAAAATCGGAAGCCAACTACTGTATTCAATTTTTAAATATATCTATTGATTTTTTTTAAAAAAAACACCATCTTTGCATCTAATATAATAACTAATAATGAACACAAATCATGTTTGCCTGCAATTTCTGTTTATAGGATTATAACATGGTTTTATTAAAATTGGATTTACTCTGTTTATTAGCTATCCTGGTTTTAGTCATCAAATTTATATTGGCATAATAGCAAGAGATAAATTAAGCATCAGTGCAGATTTACTCAATCTAATGCCATACAGATGCACAGAGATTATAATTTCCATAATACCCAGCCATACTTGGAAATTTGCAGCATATAGCATCTAAACACTGGTGTTTTCTTCCAAGTCTGAGAGTACCTGATAAGATGCCATGTGCTATTTTCTCACTCCAGTCAGGTAATTCACGATCTCTCTCTTCAGGCATTGGTTGAATATGTACAGTCTGACCAAGGTTGATCACATCACTTGAAGCTTCAGCATTCTAATATGTGAAATTAATATCCACAAAAATAGAACAACAGAAAACCAAAACAAAACAGTTATATATTACATTAGCTACAAATTGTGTCATCCTATAGAGCAAGGGTGTCAAACTCAATTTCATTGAGGGCCGCATCAGCATTGCGGTTGCCCTTGGGGGGCCGGGTGAGTGTGGCCAGGGTGGGTGCGGCCTACTGGGTGGGGGTGGATGGAGTGGGTGTGGCCTACTGGCCAGCTCTACATCATTCGTGTCAAGGGTGCCTGTGGGGGCCTGGGCAGGAGTGGGACAGATCTGAGGGTCTCTGGCAGAAGGAGGTGGGATCGGGGCAAGCGCCAAGGCATGGTCCATTTCTTCATTCCTCACAAAGGGTGATACCTCCCCAGCATGCACCCTGGGGGCGGGGCCTATGCGGCAGGGACTGGTTCCTCACTGTTTCTGGAAGGCCTTGTGGAGCTAAGACTGAATGCATTTCAGCATAGATGGCCACTACAAAATTGTACATTGGCTCCTGGCCGGCCTGGGCCAGGGTAGCGGGGGCCGTTCCCTCAGTGTTTCCAGGATGGCTTCGTGGGTCACATGAAACCACTTCGCGGGCCGCATCCGGCCCCCGGGCCTTGTGTTTGACATGTCTGCTATAGACAATTTACTTTGTGACCAAAACATTTTCTGATTTGCAACATGTACATTTTAGAATACTATTAAATTTGACAAAGTATTGCATAACAGGCGTGCATATTTAAAAATCTTCCTCCTCTTACGTAATTATTTGAGCATTATCCTTTGATAAACTTTGCAGATTTTGTAACCTTCTCACTGATAATATGCTTAAATATTCTTTAAAAAATAATGTTTCTCAGAGTTCCTAGATAACTATACTGCATTCTTGATCACATAACTCTAAATTATCACGATTAGGAATTTTACTTAAAGTATTTTTATATAACATACTATTAAAATCAGAACAAAGTAAAATTCTGGAATTGAAATCCCAATAAATCTGATAATCATTAGATCAGGGAAAGACCTTTTACACAAAGAGATTCCCTCTAGAAACCTTGATTTGGAAGATTATTTATTACTTCCTATCTATTTTGCCCTGATGGTCCAAGCAACCTTATTCAACATGTGCAATAAGAAGGATTGTTAGAAGTTTTAGTTCAATAATTTCTGGAGGTTCATCTACTCTCCAGCTTTGTTTTAATTAATTTCAACTGAAAGCCTTTAAAACAGCATATCTTGTATTTGTTTACTAATTGCTTTACTAATTTAATTTAATTTACTAATTGTCAGTCCTAGAGGAGATCAACCCTGACTGCTCTTTAGAAGGCCAGATCCTGAAGTTGAAACTCAAGTACTTTGGCCACCTAATGAGAAGGAAAGACTCACTGGAGAAGAGCCTAATGCTGGGAAAGATTGAGGGCAATAGAAGAAGGGGACGACAGAGAATGAGGTGGCTGGATGGAGTCACTGAAGCAGTAGGCGTGAGCTTAAATGGACTCCAGAAGAAGGTAGAGGACAGAAAGGCCTGGAGGAACGTTGTCCATGGGGTCACGATGGGTCGGACACGACTTCGCAACTAACAACAACAACAACTAATTGCTTTACATTTATTACAAGCAGGATTTCGAGGAGGCAGAGGAACTAGAGATCAAATTGCCAACATAAGCTGGATCATGGAGAAAGCTAGGGAGTTCCAGAAAAACATCTACTTCTGCTTCATTTACTATGCTAAAGCCTTTGATTGTGTGGATCACAACAAATTGTGGCAAGTTCTTAAAGAGATGGGAGTACCTAACCATCTTATTTGTCTCTTGAGAAACCTATATGCGGGTCAAGAAGCAACAGTGAGAACTGGACACGGAACCACTGATTGGTTCAAAATTGGGAAAGGAATACGGCAAGGCTTATACTGTCGCCCTGCCTATTTAACTTATACACAGAGCACATCATGAGAAAGGCAGGGCTAGATGAATCAAAAGTTGGAATTAAGATTGCCGGGAGAAATATCAACAACCTAAGATATGCAGATGATACCACTTTAATGGCAGAAAGTGAAGAGGAACTAAAGAGCCTCTTGATACAGGTGAAGAAGGAGAGTGCAAAAGTTGGCTTGAAACTCAACATTAAGAAAACCAAAATCATGGCATCCGGCCCTCTCAATTCCTGGCAAATAGATGGGGAAGAAATGGAGGTAGTGACAGATTTTATCTTCCTGGGCTCCAAGATCACCGCAGATGGGGACTGCAGCCAAGAAATTAAAAGACGCTTGCTCCTGGGGAGGAAAGCTATGGCAAATCTAGACAGCATACTAAAAAGCAGAGACATCACCATGCCAACAAAAGTGTGTATAGTCAAGGCCATGGTTTTCCCAGTTGCAATGTATGGATGTGAAAGTTGGACCATAAGAAAGGCTGAGCGACAAAGAATTGAGGCCTTTGAACTATGGTGCTGGAGAAGACTCCTGCGAGTCCCTTGGACTACAAGGCGTTCAAACCGGTCAGTCCTAGAAGAGATCAACCCCGACTGATCTTTAGAAGGCCAGATCCTGAAGTTGAAACTCGAATACTTTGGCCACCTAATGAGAAGGAAGGACTCACTGGAGAAGAGCCTAATGCTGGGAAAGATTGAGGGCAATAGAAGAAGGGGACAACAGAGAATGAGGTGGCTGGATGGAGTCACTGAAGCAGTAGGCGTGAGCTTAAATGGACTCCAGAAAATGGTACAGCACAGGAAGATGTGGAGGAACGTTGTCCATGGGGTCGCGATGGGTCAGACAAGACTTCGCAACTAACAACAACAACAACAACAATTAGGTACATAGAAAGGTTATATAGAAAGTATTCTTTCAGCTTAAAGAAAAAGCCCACTATTATTTCATTCAGTGCTCTTATTTGTCCTTAAAAATTGCAAGCCTTTGTTCAACTGTTCAAAATTGAAAGATGATATTCTGGGTGTTCCCCACCCCACCCCCAGGAGCAAGAATAAGAAGGGTGAATGAACTTCTATGTGTTCTACCCTCGCAAACAAAATAAAAGCATTCATTCTATTCTGGGTTTTTCTCACACTGGCACAGAACAAAAACAATAATGTGATAGTTAGATGGCCCCTTTTGTCAAAGAAGTTACCAGCTGTACATTTTGGATTAAGAACTAGACATCAAAAATAAAAATGTCTAGATAAATTCATTTCAAGATTAATTATTTAGGCACTGAATAAAATGAAGGTGAGATAAAATGTGGAACCATTATCACTGCTAAACTCAAATAAGCCTCCAAAGATCCTACATTATTTTGGCATTATTTCTCATCAATATCTCAATATTAATGAGACTATATATCACAATGCTAATTCTATGTTGAACATCTATCTTGTACATTCATGAAATAATTGCACATTCACAGAATATGACTATTTAATAATGCTGGACTGATATCATTATCTATGGATGATTATTAGTTAGCATATATGCTTATTGGTTAAAAATGGCCTTTAGAGAACAGGAACCAAATGTAAGCAACTGCCCTATATTAATGATTAATCTTCACTAAATTCACTAAATGATTACTGTGAAAAAGAAAGAGATATTGGGTAAGCCAGATTAGTGTTTACTTATGCCACAAAGGTGTAGCTGAAAAGATACATTGTTTTTAAAAAACATTTTATTAGTTGGTCATTCAGAATTTATAAGATTAGTTATAGTATTCTTTTTTATTTCATCAACATTACAGTAACTGAAACATAATGTAATATTGAATCTGATAATAAATAGTTTGAAAATTGAACCATCTGACCTGGATTGTTAATGGCTAAAATTTACAAGAACATTTTCAAAAATATAAAAATAGACATTTTTCTAGAATTGTCCCCTGAATCTTGTCAAAAAGAATTGCTAATCAATTTTCTGTGTGTTTTTTTAAATTAGAGCTGCTTTTAAATATAAATGTTGCAGGAAACTGGTTTAAGAAATTCACACAACATGCTAAGCTAAAAATAAACAGCTATATTTAAATATAACATAATTTGTGAACTAGGCTCCTAATCTACACACTTAAACAGTGAAGGATGGAAATTGTATTCAATTGTTGTTGAGTTCTACTCTCAGACATCTTTTATCATGTGTTTTTTTAAACACGGCAAACATACACTGATTGCCAAACCACCATTTTCCAAATCCTATTTTTTTAGATATATCAAATATTTATTGGTTCAATAAAATTGGCTCATGAAAGAACTTTTTGGTGACACATACATATTCTACAATAAGTAAATATTGCAAATTGCGAAAAAGGCAACTTGCAAAATTTTGCCACCACCATTAAATCATAGTCCTCAAATTTACCTTAGTTCCAAGATCTGATATCTGTTTTAATATATCCTCAATAAGTTCTTTGTAAGATCTTTGGCATCCTGATGGAAACCCTATTCCCTCATGGGATCTTGGACCCTGCAGTACCATATCAAGGACATCAACAGTTTGAAGGCTCAACAAAGAATCCATTTGGCATTCTTGCATAGTAACAGCATATAAATCCCTTACAAAATTATCCTTTTTAAATGAGATGCATTCAAGTGATTTCAGACATTAATAAAGATCTCAATTTGTTTTTATACTATGAGATCAAGAAAAATTCAGATTTTAGAACCAGAATAATATCCAAGGTGAATAATAAGCAAGTAAAAGTTAAATACTGAAATAAAACTAAAGTGTAATTAAACCAATTATTGTTTACTATTAAACAATAGATTTTCAAATGTCTACAAAGGAGAATGTCTACAAAGTTTCATATTTAAAATTTATCACTTTCATCAATAAAGAGTGGCAATAATTATCTGCTTTTATATACATATTAGATGACTATCATTTCCATTTGCCACCAGCTAAATTTTCTACCATCTTAACACTTCTATTTTTTTTTTCATTTCATGAATGGGTTAAATAAATTATATCTTCATAATCTTATATACAAATGTCTGGTTTAAGGAGATTTATTTTAAATATCTGGAACAGATTTTGCTTTCTCTTTGCTCTGTTATGAACAACTGGACAATTATTCCCATCATTTTTATTGTAATAGTGTCTTCCTGAATCTACCTGAAGGTTTTTTGGGTGAGGGAAGAGGAAAACATAAATAATTTAATTATGCAGAAATACATAATTCTGGTGTCTTACTCATCACTCAGGCCAATAATTAAAACCCATAACCAAAATCAATAAGGTCAATGATTTTAAAAAGCCACAACAGATATTTTAAAATGTCAAATTGTAGAATAGAACCAATACTTTTCCAATACTGTATTTTCTTAGAAATCACTTTGCCATGTTCATGTCAGCTGGGCTGATACAGAACTGAGATACGTATACAGAGATGCCTGTCCAACAACATATATGCTGGGTGATATGAGAAGAAATTCTAGTGCTCTGTTTAAAGTTCTGTGGAACAGCTGCATGAAATAAGCGTTTACCTGTATTCTAAGGTCAGTCATCTGTTTCAGCAGATCTTCAAATAGTTCTCGTTCAGCGATTGGAAGCTCTGAAGACAACACTACTCCTACATAGGATCCTGATACCCGTGACATCATATCGGGGAACATATATACTCCAGAGCTGCATGAGAGAACAGGTGACTGGCCGCACATAAGGGGATATAGCCAGTCACAAACCTGGAAGAGAGAAAGCCAAACAGGTTGAGCTTTTAATGAACAATACAAATACATTCATTGTTTAATTTAAAAATCAATATAATAAACAAATCTGATACTTTCATGGTTGCTTTTTTAGAAGGACTTTGTTGATGGGAATGAGGAATTACATTTATACGGCTATTTTCAGAACTATACATGTATAGCTTTCAGTGTACGAAATGCTCCCAAAGAACTTAACTAGTTATAATTGTGTCCCACCATGACCTAGATATTATCCCCAAATATTGCCTTTAGCAATTAATCATATACATAACATTCTATGCAACTGATATAGACAGCCTTAAAAGTGTACTTAAGAATCTATAAAAGATAGGCTTTTCTAGTAGAGGATTAACAACAAGCTAGCGTTGTATGATAATGGTTTTTGCTAAAGCCAGTGAAATGTATATACCAGTGGTGGCGAACCTATGGCATGGGTGCCAGAGGCGGCACGCAGAGCCCTCTCTGTGGGCACGCACGCTGTCGCCCACAGTCCTAGGCCTTCAGCCTTTTCGCTTTAGGCCTCCACCGCCGTGTACAAAAAAAAAAGGTTCAATCAATCAGTCAATTTCAACTTCTCACAGAAAAAAAAGACCTTGCAAAGTTGGAATTGATTGATTGAACTTTTTAGTCCCACCCAGTCTGCCGTTACCACCGCAGCCACGCCCACCCAATGGGCCACACCCAGCCAATGGGCCACACCCAGCCAATGGGCCACACCCACCTGGCACCCGACGATGCATAAGTGGGTTTTGGGTTGCAGTTTGGGCACTTGGTCTCTAAAAGGTTTGCCATCACTGGTATATACAGTACATGGTTTGGGGTTACAGTATAGCAGTCTGGTTCATATCAAGTCATGTTAAGCAATCCTTGAGATGACACATATGTCTTAACAGTAGCTTTCCAGCACTTCCTTAATACACATGGAAATACTCATGGAACGCTGACTTCAGCCCTTACAGCTAACTAAACAGATTTTTCATGGCTTCCAAAGAACCGACATGTCTTAGAATGCCTCATGAAGATGGAACTTCAAAGCAAAATATATGCTAAAGTGAGTTCACAGGTTACAAAGAATGGGAAAATTTATAAATGACAATTTAATAGCAAGTCAAGATAATAATAAATCTCAAGATAAGAATTAAATAATAGATTCATGGGTGCCTATTAGCCCACACACTATGTTTGCTTTGGCCAGACCTGTTGGCCTTTACTACTACCTTACTTGAAAAACACATCTTAGGAAACACGTCTTAATGTGGAACATCCAAAAAATCTTCAAATGAATATAGTTTGAAAACAATCATTTCCTAAAGCACAAGTAGGACAACTTTGGCCTCCTAAAAACTGCTGGCACTTCCTCAAGATTCCTATCTAATAGCTTGGGAAGACTCTAAGTCAGTGTTTCTCAACCTTGACAATTTTAAGGCATGTGGACTTCAACTCCCAGAATTCCACAGCCAGCAATGCTGGCTGTGGAATTCTGGGAGTTGAAGTCCACATGCCTTAAAATTGTCAAGGTTGAAAAACACTGCTATAAGTACAAGAGAGCAGGTATTACCTGAAGGAAAGCAGGAGGATGATTCTGGGCTGTTGCAACATCTGTATCCAAAAACTTTACAATGCGAAGATATCCAGGATAGGAGGGAGCACTAACTTGTCCATCAGGGGTGACATAGAAAATCTGCACACCATGGGGAATGAGGATTAATTCATCAGCATCTACTCCAAAATTATCAACAGGAGGTGGCTGAGTACATTTTGTATAGTAATCATCTCCAACAGATGAGAATTCCCCAGATTCTGTCCCATAAGACACAGTATAGTGGCCATCAGTGGCCTCTGGAGTATAGGCAGGAGGTGCTTCATTGGGCATTGAAGTTGATGGATTCACTGCAGCCATCTGCACTTGGCTTGTAGATCCAATATTTCCATGGCTTGAAAGTGGTTGAGGGGGTGATGTCAATGAGCTGGGCACCGAAGGCCTCTCAGTCTTTTCTTTAGATGGAATTGTTGGGTATAATCTGGGCATCCTTATATTGGAACTAATGGCAGTGATGCTTGCTTGAGAATTTTCATCTAGAAGTCTCAAACGAGCAGTAACATTTTCTAAAGTTTCTCTCATCTTTTGCTGCATTTGCCTAATAGGTACAGCATAGCCCTTGGTGCCTTCAAGACCTTCTGATGGAATACTAACTCCTTTGCATAAGTGAGTAAGCCCCTGCCTATAATAATTCTTTGCTTCTTCTATTTGACCCAATTCATCTGCATTCAAAGCTTTATTAACAAACACAAAAGCTTTCTTGTACTCATCTTCAATTGCTCTTGCATTTTCATTTTCTTGCATAGCTGAATCCTGACCTTGATCCATTACTGCACACTGAAACATAGAATAAATTAAATGGAGATATTGAACAGAAGAGAATACATCAGTGGAAGGTATGTTCCAAAGGTGCTTTTTTCAAGACATAGACAGTGGAAGGTATACACACACACACACACACATACACTGAACTGTAATATCAGATATCAGATGACGTCTTAAAAGGACATCAAATGATATTTTTCTTAAATAGTTTTCCTTGTCTTCGAGTCTGGAGAATCTGCAGCCCTTCAGATACTGCTCAAATTTAATAATCCAGCCATCAGGATCAAAGGTGACAGATTCAAGAGCATTACTCAGCAACATTTGGAGAGCTATAAGGTCTGTATTCCTGATCTGCAGCATCATTTATTTAATCCATGGATAGGTTGCCTTAGTCTCAACAGTTAACTCTAAGCATCTTGCAAAGCATAAATAATTAGGATTTAAACAATAAGGCAAGAGCAAAGCATAATTAAGGTTGAAACAATGAGAAATTAAGTATATAATGGAATTCCATCAGTCAAAGAATTCTGGCTGGTGGGGTCCAGAAGGACCTTCTCTGCCATGTCGCCTATCCTTTGGAATGTCTCACCCCCTGAGGTGGGATCAACTCCCACCCTTCTGACCTTCCATAAGGGCCTGAAGACTTGGCTCTGCCAGATGGCTTGGGGCTCCAACAAGGGAGCAACACACTGGAGGTGGTTGATGAATTAAGAGACAATCCCACCTCCTCCACCCCGCGCATCCTGCTCCCTCCTCCCTTTCTCCCCCCCCTTTCTTTTAACTATAATTTTATTTTTCATTGTAATTTTCATTTATTTCCATTTTTATTGCTTTAAAAATATTTTATCTTCTATGTTTTTAATGCTTTTAATGCTGTAAGCTACCCAGAGACACTTCAAAACGAGATGGTGGCAAATAAATTTAATAAATAATAATGTTTTCTAAAGTGACCTTCTTGATGGGGAATAACAAAACTGATTGAACACCATTAAATGTTGCTAAATTACACTGTTCCAAGGACTGTTTTAAAAAGAAGAGCTTCAAGGCTTTCCCCAAATACCAGAGGTTCAGGGCCACACAAACTTCAGGAAGAATATTGTTCCACGGGGCAGGAGCATCCATAGACATCCAAGGTCCTGCAAGATGGCATTACTTTCAGTAACAGAACCTGGAACAAGTTTTATTATACTGGTTTCTTCCCAATGTTGCATATTTCTAACTCACTTACAAATTTTTTATGAAATTCTGACCTGATGCAAAAAAGGTAGAAATGAAGACCCCCTCAAGTAAAGTCACCTCCTAAAATTATCTAGGTTTCTCAAGATTCTACATTAGCAAAGTAATAAAAAAAATTCTTATTTGTCTATGAACTGGGATTTCTGAGCATTTGCTTTTTCAGCAACTCTTCCAAAATAATAGACTTTTTAACAGCAGCCAATGTCAATAGAAAATTATATACTTCAACATCCTGTCATCTGGAATTCTAGCTTCCAGATAGGCCTAGTTCAAAAATACATTCATTATGAATATGAAATTAGCTTCTGATTAAGGAAAAGGAAGTGCTCATTAACTGCATCTGAATCAAAGTAAAGCAACTATAATGTTCCAATATGATCAGTATCTAAAACTTTAGTCTTAGATATAATATAAAGATGATTTATATAACGTGACAGACTGATTTAACTGATATAATTATAAAACTCCAATATTAAAAGTATTTACTTTATGGAGAAAACACAGCCACCTAATAACTTACTTTTCTAAGTTCAGAAAGGTTGACCTCGTTCACTGAGGAAAGCAATAACATTTAAACCTCTTAGTTGTAGATTAACTTGCACAGTTCTGCTGTTTATTTTACAATTATTTAATGTTTTACATTTTGGTTTTAAAAGAGAAAACAATTGTCATCAATATCCCCATAGGCTAATTTAAGCTGAAGAATATTTATTTAGAAGAAAGTCCACAATCTGTTTATTAAGGGCTACAGCCATATTTCGAGAATCAGTAATCTTAGTTATCTCCTTTACAGTTAAGTGAAATCATAGTCAACATCTGTGACTAAATCTCATTTGCCCATCCCTCCTGGAGAATTACTGTTATTGGATGGTATCAAAACTCAGTATAATTACATAAATGGTTCATGCTTGTTTAATTATTTTTACTGAATAAATCACAATTAGGTTCAGATAATATATTAAACCTGGAAATAGGCAGTATTTCTAAACAGAAGGCCATATTTAGCCTTTGAGTGATTGGCAGGGGAATACACTCCAAATAATTGTGCATTAGAGCCAAAACTGACTGCCCTTCAGCATCATATGACATTACCCATTACATTAAAAGCCACAATTTAGGGGGTTCTCCATGGATTCTACCAAATGCTTCCAAAGGTCAATATAGCCATGAGGTCAACATAAGCCAAAAATGTTGTTTATAAGTCACAAAAGCTGATTCCACATACTGTATTGTGGATTAATTCTGACTTGGGCATTTTATAAACTTTCTGAGTTTAAATCTCTTCTAGGAAATGAGTTATTTCAAAACCTATCATGGGATGACTGCTGCAATGAAAACATTTCCTAGAAATAATAGTTAAGTTTGTTATTTCAGGACAGAAAATGCCTCTGATTGCAGTCACAATTCAACATTCTGACAACAGTAAACATCAGCAATGCATTTAAGAAAGGAAATATGCTAGTCATGAGGTTATGTATAATTTAACTAACTTCAGATTCAAGTTACCAAGTTCTGCCTCAGCTATCAGTATTCTAATCCATGAGAATCTACAGACAATAGATGGAATGGCTTGAGCTAAAACAGATAATATACCATAGTTTACCTGACTAATCCCAGATGGCTATAATTCTACATTCTGTAGCAGAATTGCCTGTGTTCACACAACATATGAAACCATGACTTATAAACTGCTGAATCAAAACCAAATCATGGTTTAGCCAAAAGACCATACTCAACTATAATGTGATTTATTCTGGTTTAGCAAACTGTATAAATACAGGCCATTACAATTCAGATAGTTACAGCTCATTTCTACGCATACTAAATACAGTATGTTCTGCTACCCATAATTTATGGATGTTGGCGTGAACAAATTCTCCCAGTTCTGATTTATTCTGAGAATTATAAAATGTAAAAGCTATAAGAACTCTTAAGAGATTATTTAGGTCAATCCTCTGGCTGCTAGTGAGCAGCTAAGGTTAAACAAGCGACGACTTGCCTACGATTAACCCAATTTCAACAAGAGCTAGCTCTATAATCTAATATGAAATATAGTATATCTCAGCGTGACCTAAAGTTTTTCACTTGACGTCTGAAGGAGCGCATACTCTTGAAATCCCGTGCACAATTTACCTAAACAGAAGCGCTGCTGAACCGTCTGGGAACCAGCTGGTAAATGTATACTGGTTTGAACATAAATACCACTGAACGAAATAGCCTGAACATACTCACAGAATCAAGCCCCTGAGTAGTTATTTTAATGCATCGATCAAAAAAAAAAACAGCGCAACCTTCTTTCAATGCTGGAAAGTGAGGTTTCAGACTTCAACGCTATGTTTGGTTATTCAATACCCACGACTGGCGTTACCAGCCAAGGAACCTCCTGCAAGTCCAGACCGACCAGCCAGTTTTCGCGAGGCTCGACCTTTGGATTTGCAGGATTCGTCCTGCCAAGCCTGCACCAACCGAAGGGCCTCCACGCGTCTGCAGTCCACAGGTCACTTGCAGCACCGCAACATCGCATCCCGGCTGAGCCGAAAGGCCGGGGGACCGGAGGACGCCGTGAGCTACCAACGCCGCTGCAGAAACGCTGGGAACCCCGTACCTGTTTATGCAGAAGTTTCCCTTTCACCCGGGTCAACGCTCATCCTCTCACTTCTCCCGCCGGCTGTCGCCGTCCCGCCTCCCTTTTCACTCACCCCAACTTCCCCGAGGTTCCGCAGAAACACCTGTCCGAACCCGCTGCGGGGCGGCTGCTTCAGTAGTTGGGGCCGCGGCCGATGAGGCGTCACGTGAGCGGCTGCCGTCAGCCGCCCGTCACCAGACGAGTCTTTCCTCAAGCCAGAAGCTTCTGGTTCGCTTCAGTCTCTTTTGGCCGCCAGGGGGAGCTGCCGCCCCTCCTCCTGAAACCGCGCCCGCTCGCCCTCTAATTACCGTAATTCTCGTAAAACATCAGTGGTTTTTTCCGCTTTGTTAGAATAAAGGAATGGTTTCATTCCGGAAAAAGAAATGGAATCGTGGTATCCTTTCGCTTTGGAACGCTGGGAATTGTGCTTTTAAGGAAAGTATCCTGTTTGCCCTTTAAATGGATGATCCCCTCCAGGTGTTTTGGATGCTAACTGCTTTAATCCTCCTGACTGGCTGGCAGACTATGGGAACTCAGATCCAACCCCTCTATCTTGGGCTAGTTCATGATTCTATATAATAATAATAATAATAATAATAATAATAATAATAATAATAATAATAATAATAATAATAATAATAATAATAATAATAATAATAATAATAAAGTTGGAAGGGACCTTGGAGGTCATCTAGTCCAACCTCCTGCTCAGGCAGGAAACCCTATACCATTTCGGACAAATGGCTGTCCAGTTTCTTCTTAAAAACTTCCAGAGTTGGCGCATTCACCGCTTCTGGAGGCAGGTTATTCCACTGGTTAATTGTTCTAACTGACAGGAAGTTTCTCCTTAGTTCTAGGTTGCTTCTCTCTTTGCCCTCTTACCCGCTGACCTGTTGCTTCTATGACTGCAGCTGAAATTAATATTGTGCCTTGCGTTTTTCCCCCCACCACGGTAAGGAAAAATGCTGAAGACAGGAGGCCAGGTTGAAATGCAGGAGCCTTGTGCCTAAAAAGGTTGTAGCATGGTAAGATTGACAAGAGCCAGTTTGGTGTAGTTGTTAAGGCATAGGACCAGAAAACGAGAGACTGAATTCTAGTCCTGCCCTGGGCACAAAACCAGCTGGGTAACCTGAGCCAGTCACTTTCTCTCAGCCCAAGGAAGAAGGCAATGGAAAAACACTTCTGAAAAACCAATGACGGTGAATATATCGTCCCAGGATAATGTTGCAGGATCCGATCTGGATGTGTCACTGGAACCAGGGTTCTGAGCTTTCAGACTCATACTGAAGCCCACCTTCAGGGAACTTCTCTCTCTAGCCATGAGTTTCATTCCATACAGCATTAACCTTGCGAACTCTCAACCTTCCTCCTTCCGTTATATATTCAAGATGGACAATATTTAATACTAGCTGTATCCAGCCACGCGTTGCTGTGGCTCAGTCTGGTAAAAGCGTGTGTTGCTTTTACGTCCAACAGATGGTGCTGTTTTTCAAAAAAAGCATGTTTTTACCTGTCACAGGTGTGGCATCTATATAATATAGGTATATAAAAACATGCGCGTATTCGAATGCAACATTGTATCAAAATTTCAAAGCAATCGGTAAAGAACTTTCGGAGATTTAAGATTTTGAACAAACGAACATTTACATTTTTATTTATATAGATTTACTTGCTACGTATATGTAAGGATGTGGGTCCAGGGCTTTTTTTCTCGGAGAAAAGGTGGCGGAACTCAAACCTGGCCACGCCCTCATCAAACCCTAGGACCGCCCCTTTAGAGAACAGGAATGCAAGTAAAATTTGGGAGGGGCTATTTCCGGTGTGGGAGGGGCTATTTCCAGTGCAGCCGGCCCGGAAAAAGGTGCCGGAACGCGGTTCCGCCGCGTTCCGGCTGAAAAAAAGCCCTGTGTGGGTCTATACATATGTTCATAGTATGTTTAGGTGTGTGTCATGTATGTGTTTCACTAAATTTCATTTTTGATGTGTGCCATTGTGCCCACAATATAAAAATGACAATAAAGGTTATCTTATCTATCTTATGTTCTGAAAAATCTTGCCAAGAAAACAGCAGGGACTTGTACAGGCAGTACCTGAGAATCAGGCATGATTGAACAGAAGAATAAAAAATATATTGTGAAAACCCGCAATAGTTTTTTTAAGGAAATGAAATTGCTGCCAGGATATGGCAAATTTTAGAAGGACAACAATCATGCAGTAATTATGTATGAAGGAGTCTTATGGGCTCTGATGAGCCTCCAGTAGGCCAGTCTGATGGCAAAGATAGGGAGGAATACTAGTCAGCTCAGTATAATCAGCATTTTAATTTTCTATAATACACCAGAGGGATGCTAGAACAGGAGCATTGTGGTATATAAAAGTACAGTATAATTAAACCCAATTTAAGAGTGCTAAACAGAATTTTTGAAGTGTGCCTTGCTCACAAAATTTCTCAGGATTTGAAGCCTAGATTTTAACTTGAGTTCAAGTATAATTTCATAACAAAATGCTTTACATATTGAATTTCCACTTGTCAAGCACTTAAAGCAGTGGAAATCACTCTATAACAATTTTTATACAGAATGTATAAAAAAGAGATGTAACACAATCTAGACTGGTGTGTTATGTAATGTTTTAATTATAAATCTGAAGATATCTTATGCAATAAATTTTGCTTAGAAACAAAGGCAAACCAAATATTCATATGTTAAGGCATTAACAAGACAAAAAAATCCCAAGGCATTTGTTTTCTAATTTGTGTATCAACTCACTTTACAAATATAAATATAACAATGCATAGTATAATATAATCTTAACATACAAATACAAAATGTAGCAATGATGATGATGATAAAGTTGGAAGGGACTTTGGAGGTCATCTAGTCCAACCCCCTGCTCAGGCAGGAAACCCTATACCATTTCAGACAAATGGCTGTCCAGTCTCTTCTTAAAAACTTCCAGTGTTGGAGCATTCATAGCTTCTGGAGGCAGGTTGTTCCACTGATTAATTGTTCTAACTGTCAGGAAATTTCTCCTTAGTTCTAGGTTGCTTCTCTCTTTGGTTAGTTTCCATCTGTTGCTTCTTGTCCTGCCTTCAGGTGCTTTGGAGAATAGCTTGACTCCCTTTTCTTTATGGCAGCCCTGAGATATTGGAACACTGCTATCATGTCACCCCTTGTCCTTCTCTTCATTAAACTAGACATACCCAATTCCAGCAACCGTTCCTTATATGTTTTAGCCTCCAGTCCCCTAATCATCTTTGTTGCTCTTCTCTGTGCACTTTCTAGAGTCTCAACATCTTTTTTACATCGTGGTGATCAAAACTGGATGCAGTATTCCAAGCAGGGCCTTACCAAGGCATTGTAAAGTGATATTAACACTTCATGTGATCTTGATTCTATCTGTTAATGCAACCTAGCACTGTGTTGGAGTGTAGAGGACAGTCTTGTCAAATAATGACATTTCTTCTATACAACACTTCATTTTTCAACAAAGAAAGCTTTTGTCAACAAAAGAACCAGTTTAAGACTCATTCACATGTATATCTGCATTCCAGAGAATCAATTACAATGTCAAATTGCTCCAATTAGTTACTAGCATGGTTGTACTGGAAATGAACTGATAGTGAAGGCATAGATATTGCACAATCACATACAGATGTTCTTTCATGACTTTTAAGATGGGATGTCTCCTCCTGGCTGCCTAAGAAAACATAAAAAGGGGCATTCGCACAACACATTTCATAATTTAAACCTCCTACCATGTGATACAACTCCAGAAAACAAATATCTGAGTCAAAATCAGGTCACCAAATCTAAAATACCCCAAGTAATCATTACTTATCTGCTGAGTCAGTAATCCTGAAGTAATTTAGACAGCAAATCTTGGTCTTAGAAAATTCCCAACATATTGGGCTATTCCACAACTGATCTCTGGATTTTTTTTAGTTTACAGCTTTTTTACCGTTGCTAATCAAAATGGGGAGCAAAATAAAATGAGTTAGTAGCAATTTGTCCTCTAATAATTGATGGAAGACCCAACCCCAATCATGGTGCATATTTTTAAGTATCCAAGTCAGTGGCGTAGCGTGGGTTGTCAGCACCCAGGGCAAGGCAAGTAATTTGCGCCCCCCCCTCCACAGTGGGCGGCGACCCGGCGGCTCGGATCGGATTCGCACAGGCAGGGGCAGAGAGCTGCGAGTGCGAGTGCGCCCCCCCAGATGTTGCGCCCGGTGCGGCCGGCCCCCCCTGCACCCCCCACGCTACGCCTCTGATCCAAGTTGGCCCAGGTGGCACAATGTACATATATGTGATTTGTTGAAAAGTAGTTTTGAGTAGGCTTATATGATGGTTTGGTTTCAATTTTTAAAAGATGCTTTGGCATATACGAGGACATAAATGTATCAGTTATGTGTAACTTTTAAAGCATCTGCAGCTTTTTCCAGGATTATCTCTTAGCTGCATGATCCAGAGAAAAGATGCAACTGCTTTAAACAGTTGCAGACTAGTGCTACATTGGGACATCTGTGTACTCCAGACCACTTTTTTTTACATTCTCCCAATCACTGCACAATCTACTGATGAGCAGATAAAGGAGCATTTTAACCATTCCTACAAATCTTTCTTCTATCCTTTTTTTCTTTCAGTGTGTGATTTTCTCCACAAACATCTTATTTGAGAAAAAAAGTGGCTGGAATAAAAAGATTAAACCATATTCATTGTTGGATCTATCCAACAAATAGTATGCATTCTTCTTTCACTAGTACAATTTACAATCCTTTTTCTTCTATCATCAAAACCCGAGTTTCTGTAGAAATCATATTTTATTACAGCATACTGTATGTCAATATTGGTTCAAGATAGTTCACTGCCTGAGGAGAAGCTCGCATGACATCTGCACCACTCAGCGTCATCTAAGAAAGATCAAAATCAGCAAGATGGAGGACAGGGTGCTGCTATGTAAAGTCAATCAGAATAGAGCTGGAAGGGACCTTGGAGGTCTTCTAGTCCAACCTCCTGCTCAAGCAGGAGACCCCATACCATTTCAGACAAATGCCTGTCCAGTCTCTTCTTAAAAATCTCCAG